GAAATCAGGCATAGGTTTAAAATAAAGGCTGATTTACTGCACACTGGAGAATGAGTCTCTACTTCAATCTCCTATTGCCATTTGTGCTGGAAGTCTGTAGGCAGCTTCCACACAGGCAAAAGCTCCCCTGGACTGCAAGGAGTCTCCGTACTGTTTCTTTCACAAGTGAGACTTGGTTTTATTTAGCTTTGGTTTATGATCACATAGAAAACTGCACTGTGCTGAGCATCAGCATCATAGTATAGAGGTAAGATCTGAAGCATTATTCTCCATTTTGGTCCAAACATAATCACTCTAAAACCCCCAAACTGAATATTTAACCTATTGCTGGAGACACTCATAGATTTAGTCTCCTTCCTACACCCCGTTTTCAACACAAAACCCCAAGGTACTTTTTCATTACATTCCTTTATGATCTTCATCTCAACTGGAGAAGACATTTTCTAGCCTAGAAGGTAGAGGCTTTGCTTTATATTGTCAAAAGTAGCAAGTTTAAGTCCTGTGGTGAGGGTCATATTTTTTATAATAAACCCTTCATATCCATTATTATCTCCTTGTTAAATGGTTCAGTACATTAATTATCACTATCATCCAATATATTTTCTGCAGAATGAAAATATTTCAACAATGCTTTTGTCTGAAGAAGCAAAACATAATATACCATTTTATGAGTAATTTTCATGAAATTCTGCATGCATCCAGATCTTGTGAGGCAGGGAACACACTTTGTTTGAACTTTATAGCCTTCTTATTCAGTTTTCATTAATAATTTTTCCTTCAGTTCTCAATAGGCTTCTGTAGCATTGAGGGAATAATATCAGAGCCCTCCTGTAGCTAATTTAATATCTGTAAATTTCCATGGCTGATAAGCAACAACTGTGCACACAAATAGAAAACTAAAATAGTGAATGTGGGAGGGAAAAGGACCACAAATGAAAGTGGAGACTGCAAGATGCTGTGAAGTGATAATCATTGCAAAAGATTTGGCTTCATCATGTAAAACCACTAGCAGAAGAACAGTGATTATCATTTGTCCTCTAAAAGAAAATCAAAGTTATACATTTGGTTTTTATTCTGTTTTTGTCTCAAAAATCATTCCCTTGATAGGTAGAAAATGTTTTTTCATGGAGTTTTTCACTAGCCCTTGTTCTGGGCCGTGGTCACATGCATCCCTAGCTTGCCAGAGGCACTGGTAAGGACAACTGTTTTTCCTGGTCCAATAAATAATTTTCTACATCTTTCTCTCCCAAAGCATGGTTCTGACCCATACTCATATCCCTACTCCTCTCCTCTAGACAAACAAGCCCAAATCAACATCCAAGCTACCTTGTCCTTGCCAAACTTCCTGCTACGTATTTCAGGACCACTCACAAAAATTTTGCATTCCCTCTCCGAATTCAGTTGCTGCCCCCATCCTCCTTAGGTTCTTTAGCCCCAGATCAAGCCCCTGTTAATTATCTCCCTATTATTATCTTAATTATTTGAGAACTCATGCTCTCAGCTGCAGGCTCTGAAAAGCACACAGCAGAATCTGGAGCTGTATTTGGGATCAAGAGACTGCAAGAAGATGCCCAACCCAACTTCTGAGGACAAGCAGCATCCAAAGCAGCCACATAACATAGCCCACGTCTCATTTCCTGTCCTCCCATACCACTGCAGGCAGTGTAAAGCCCTGGGCTGCACACTCACATGAATTTGGTGGCCACTTCAAAGATGAACACAACATCCTGGACAAGAAGCAACTCTACAAACACCATAGACAAACCCAGCAGCTTTGCAGTGTCTGTTGCTATTGCTCTCTTCACAGAAACTCCACCTTTATTAGAAACATTGGTTGCTGCTCTATAGCAAACGAATCTTCTAGCAACAATGGTCTGGTTAGCAGTAGCTTGGGGAAAGAGCCCCCCTGGAAAGGATACTCATGGGTCTATCAATTTAAGATGCGTTTTTAAATCCTTGCCTGCACGACATAACTTGTTCTCATAAACTCTCCCAGTTGCACAATACTTTGTTGCAGCCATCACATGCAAGAAAAAACACATTGAGATAGAGGGCAATGTATTGTGGTTTTTTTAACAGAGGAAAAGTCTTTAGAAGGACCACAGACCTTGCTGTATTAAATCATCCCTCCACAGCAAAGTGTAGATGGTCTATAGGGAAATGCAAGCTGGAGTGTGCAGAAAAGGTGCAATTCTGCTCTCCCTGGACAAGTCAGGCGTGGTCCTACAAGCCAACCCATCCTGCCCAGACAGGATTGGAGCCTAACATTGGGCCACCAGAAAGACAGGACCTGCAGGAGGAAATAAATTCTTCTGGAGCCATGGGATCAACCATGGTGCCAGTCACCAGGATGTATCAACAAGCAAATTCTTCTCCAATCCTACAAATACGCAAAACCCTGGCACCCGCAGACCTCACATCTCTAATTAAAAATGGCCATGAATACTTCAATAAACAATGCAATCCATCATGTTCAGGACATAATAAAGAGACATGGAGTGGAAAAGAAGCTTTGCCCTTGTCCTGTGTACCATACTGTATGTTTCACTGCAGGAAAGCATGTGCTAATTTCTTACCTCTCTGCTGACTGCACTGTCCTTTTGCATAGTTGCTGCTAAACTGCATGAAAGGTATTTCTAATCTCGTGACGGTGACTGAAAAGGGCTGAAGGACACAAATTAAGTCTCATAGCAATAGAGCAGCCCAAGAATGGAAGGTCAGCCAGTTGACTCTTCCCAGAATCCCCTGAACAATGCAATTATTCATGAAGGAAATTTCAAATTATTTTCATTAGACTTCTGTTTTACCAATCTAACCAAAGTGATTAATTAGGGATTAAAATATTTACTCTGCACATGCTGCCTTGGCACTGCACTAGAATATTTAAGCATTGTGCTAAAAGGGTCAGCTGTCTCCAGTACTGTTTGGAATTCATTCCCTACTTTCTGTGTAAAAGGGCATTGACACTCATGTCTATACTACACTTAGGATCCCATTAGGGACATGGAGAGAGAAATAACTCTCTATTCCTGCCCTTATAGCTGCCCCAAGCTGCCCAATTTCTTTACTGGGCTACTTCACCTTAGAAGCAGACAACAGCAGCAGCAGTGACTACAATATGCCATGCAGGAGGTTTAAAGTTCAACACCTATTCCACAAAACCAGAGATGAGGGAAGTGCTTGTGAGAACCTGGAAGGACCATCTAGGAAAAAAGAGTGTTGGGATGGATTACAGGAGAATCGGGCTCAGATTTGGTTACCGATATCCTGCACAACCCTGCCCAGTTTCTTAGTCTGACTTTTGCCTCAATTTCTTAGTTTTAGTTTGGTGCTCACCAGCAGCAGGGTGAGAACTTGTCAAGCTCAGTAAAGAAGAGTAGAGCTTTGATTTAGGCCCACCAGAAAGCAGAACACTCTTCCAGTGAGGCTATCAGGATGTGGTCCATGGGCAGGTAACACCACTGCATATTCTGGTGTGGACATCCCACAAATGTTTGTCCTTACCTGAGCTTTGAGTTAGCATGAGATAGATAGAATTAACTCACAATTAGGATATGGTGTACACTGAAGTGGAAGCTAGTCTTAATACAGGGATTTGGGAACCTTGGCTCTAAAAACAGAAACATGGACTTACTGAAAGTAGAATTGCTTTCACTGGGTGTGAAGTTTAGAGAAAGGATCACTTTGCAAGCCCCTGAAACAGTGAAACAGTGTGCTGGAAATGCTTTGCTTGCTGCATTCCTTTCCCAGAGCTGCAACCAGCAACCCAGATCAGAGCCTACAGCAAATGCCAACTTGCACCAACCCTCAGAGGCTCCTGGAATCAATTTGCAATTTGTCCCTCACCCCCACTTGTCTAACGCAATCCGAAGCAATGGGATATGTAACAAGGAAAGACTCCAAGAATGGTGAACATGAAAGACCACACAACTGATGGTGCAGCAAGCCACAATGGCTCAGCCAGTCTGCACAGGGATGTTTGCATTTGTTTCAGTGCTGAGGATACAAGTGGCTTTTCTGGCATTGCGATCTGACACATCCTAAGCAAGTGTGTTTCTCTGTGGGATAGTTAAAATACACAGTATCTCCAAGCTGGTGAGTGCTGCCACTGCAACCTCACCAAGATGAAAAAGATGTATAACAGGATTTGCATTCCTTTCCAGAATGACTGCTGCAAGCAAACATTTCAGCACTTATTTGTTACCAGTGTTATTAGAAGTCTCAACCCATTTCCTGGCTGGGGCATATTTTCTCAAGGGGACTGAAGTCACCTGTCACTTTCTTTCTCACATTACTTAATCATTTTAGTCCAAGCAGTAAGCTGCCAATCATCTTTAATATTTAGTCACCTTGAATGCATTGCTACTGATTAAATAGACTGCTATTTCTGTAAACAACTGATGAGAGAATACTTACAGCTTCATTATAATTATTCCACCAGATATTAGAGCATTATTCATATGTAAGTCCAAAGAATATTTAGGTCTTCTCCTATTTATTTCACAAACAACATTTTAATTGCTGCCATATTAGTAGAGCTATCAGTACTAATTGGATAATACCCCTTCAAAGATTTCTCTTATAGCAACCATTTTTGCTTGCATGCTTTTAAAGCATCCCTGCTGATTACCACAAAGAAATTTACCCTTACAAATTTATCAGCCAGGCACCTATATGCATATTTTTGTCACACAATCATACAGTCATTGAATAGTTGGGTTGGAAGGGACCTCATCCAGTTCCAACCCCCCCGCCATTGGCAGGGACACCTTCCACTACACCAGGTTGCTCAAAGCCCCATCCAATCTGGTCTTGAACACTGCCAGGGATGGGGCAGCCACAGCTTCTCTGGGCAACCTGTGTCAGCACCTCACCACCCTCACAGGGAAGCATTTCTTTCTCACATCTAATCTAAATCTTCCTTCTGTCAGTTTAAAGCCATTCCCCCCCTGTCCTATCCCTACAGGCACTTGTCAAAAGCCCTTCTCCAGCATTCTTACCTTTTAGCTAGTGGAAGGCTGCTCTAAGGTCTCCCCAGAGGGTTCTCTTCTCCAGGTTGAACAAGTCCAGCTCTCTCAGCCTGTCTCCATAGCAGAGGTGCTCCAGCCCTCTGAGCATCTTCATGGCCTTCTCTGGACTCACTCCAATAGGTCCATGTCCTTCTTCTGTTGGGGGCCCCAGAGCTGAACACAGTACTCCAGGTCTGGTTTGATGTTTGTAATACAGAGAAAACAGGTGGCTCCTATTAAAGGGAAGAAGTTGAAAATAGGACAAAGCCTGTACTGCAACTCATGGCAGAAGCATGACGGAAATCCAGGCATTCTGAGATCATCCATGGCCTTAAACATAGTACATCCCCCTACCCTGGACAATGTATTCCTGGGGGCTTGGAGGATCCTTTTAGAACATCCTTGAAAAGTTCATCAAGAAAAGTAAACTTACTGTTCATAGACTTAAAAGCAGGGATCTTGCTTTCAGCAGAAAGTATCTCACAGGGTCCACAGTTTAAAAAGTGTTGAAACGATGCTGCAGAACCAGATTGAAGCTGTGCATCAGGTTTTAACAGATTACATGTTTAATGAAGGTCTTTGCACACTAACAGTAAATTTATTGGGTGGGTTTGGCCAGGAACAGAAAGGTGAAGGAGAAATTTCAGAAAAGTAAAAATGTCACCACCACATAGGCAGGACCTTCAGACCTTGCTTCTAGAAGAAGGTTTTGTTTAGAAACTCAGCTAGACCCATTTTTCAAAGGAACAGATAATGTATGTGTTTCTTTCGCTTCAGTGAGAGAAGATGAGAAATTGTTATTTAAGGTTGACCCATACATTTTTCCTTGTTTCTCCCTACCTAACTCATCTCTTCTCCTTCCTCCCTCACAGATTTTCAGTTTGACCACTGAACTGAAAAATTAATTATTCTTTACAGCTCTATTAAAGGATGATGTATGCCAGGCTGCTTACAGAGAATCTAGCTGATGTATACCAAATATCTCTATTTCTTATTTGGTTTTCCCTTTCTTTTAACAACTGCCCCTTCTTCAGATAATTTCAAAATGCCCAAGTGCTCATAGGGTGCAGTGGACTGTACATTAATATGTACTAAAATGAAATAAAATATGAACCCGAGTGTTTTAATGCCACTGTTTTAACCTAGGACACCCACTCAGCAATTAAACACCACACAGCCACTCACTCACTCCTCCCTAGTGGGATGGGAGAAAGCATCAAAAGAGCAAAAGTGAGAAAACTCATGGGTTAAGATAAAGACATTTGATTGATAAATAAAGCAAAATACGTGCATACAAGCAAAGTGAAACAAGGAATTCATTCACCATTTCCTACTGGCAGGCAGGTATTCAGACATCTCGAGGAAAGCCAGGCTCCATTATTCATAACATGTACTTGGGAAGACAAAAACCATCACACTGAACACCTCTCACATCCGACACCCCTTCCTTCCTTTTTCCCAAGCTTTATATGATAAGCATAAAATTATATGGTCTGGGATATCCACAGGGTCAGTTGGGATCAGCTGTACTCGCTGTGTCCTCTTCCAACTTTGGGTGCCCCTTCAGCCTATTCACTAGTGGGATGGGGTGAGAAGCAGAAAAGGCCTTGTCTCTGTGTAAGCACTGTTCAGCAATAATGAAAAAAATCTGTATTGTCAACACTATTTTCAGCACAAATCCCTCAAGTGGCCCCTGTAGCTCATGGAGGAAAGAAGGAGGCCGTTAACCTGGGAAGCTGGAAATAGTAACGAAACCAACCAACCAACCAACAACAAAAAAAAAAGGAGGAAGAGGACAATTAAAAGCAAGGGGCTTCCCCCTAAATCTGATGTCGCCACCCAGAACCGCTTTGCTGTCCTCCAGCGGGCTGATGAGGAAACACCCTCGAACCAGAAACAACTGGCTGAGGCACTGGTAAAGAAGATTGCTACTGGTGCTGCCAGGAAAAAGCGGCAGGTCATAGTAGTAGGGGACTCTACTTTGAAAGGAGCAGAGGTACCCATCTGTCGGCCTGACCCAGTCTCAAGGGAGGTGTGTTACCTACCAGGGACACAGATCAGGGATGTTGCAGAGAGACTGCCTGCTCTAGTAAGCCCCACTGACTATTGCCCTCTTCTAGTGATCCATGTGGCTGCTAGGGATATAGATTGCAGTAACCTGGAGAACATAAAGAAGGACTACAGAGCCCTGGGGGAAGTAGTTAGGGGCTCTGGAGCTCAGATTGTCTTTTTGTCAATTCTCCACAATACAGGGGAGGACCTTAAAAAGGCTAGGAGGGTTGGCCAGGTTAATAAATGGTTAGAACAGTGGTGCCATAGTCAGGGGTTTGGGTGTCTAGAACATGGGACTCAATATAAGAAGCCAGGTCTACTGGGGGCTGGTGGAGCTGGTCGGAGCTGTTTTGGTAGGAGGCTTGCCAGACTGGTCAAGGATGCTTTAAACTAGATGGGTTGGGGGAAGGGGGCATCATTCCATCCCAACACACCCAGTCAGTTGCCAGCACCTACAATAAATGCTCAGAGCAATGTAGAGATATCCCAGCCACTCCAGCCAATGAGCCGGCTTCATTCGGAGCTCGGCTCAGATGTCTCTATACAAATGCCCTTAGCACGGGGAACAAATGAGGAACTAGAGATGTGTGCATGTCTGTGAGCGTATAGGCATCACAGAAACATGGTGGGATGGCTCCTATGACTGGAGTGTTGGAATGGAAGGTTACAGGCTCTTTAGGAAAGACAGGCCTGGCAGGCGTGGAGGGGGAGTTGCCCTTTATGTTAGGGATAGGCTGGGGAGTATGGAACTCTGTCTGGGACAGGTGAGCAGTCAACAGAGAGTTTGTGGGTCAGGGTTAAAGGGAGAACAGCTATGGGGGACATTATTGTGGCAATCTGCTACAGATCACCTGATCAAGAGGAACCTGCAGCTGCAGCATTCTACAGACAGATAGGAACAGCCCCATACTTGCAGGCCCTTGTTCCCATGGGAGACTTCAACCACCCTGATATCTGTTGGAGGGACGGTACGGCCCAGCACAAGCAATCCAGGAGGTTCCTCGACTGTGTGGAAGACAACTTCCTTCTGCAAGTAACAGAGGAGCCGACAAGGAGAGGTGCCATGCTTGACCTCGTGCTCACCAACAGGGAAGGGCTGGTTGGAAATGTGACTCTCCAGGGCAGCCTTGGATGCAGCAATCATGAGATGGTCGAATTTGAGATCCTCAGGACAGTGAGAAGAGCGTGCAGCAAGCTCACTGCCCTGGACTTCAAGGGAGCAGACTTTGGCCTCTTCAGGAACCTGCTTAGTAAGGTTCCATGGGATACAGCCCTAGAGGGCAGGGGGCCCAAGACTATTGGATGATAGTCAAGTATCACCTGCTGCAAGCTCAGGAGTGTTGCATGCCAACTAGAAGGAAATGCAACAGGCGGGCCAGGAGACCTCCTTGGATGGATAAGGAGGTGCTGAGGAAACTTTGGAGGAAAAAAGAGGCTTATAAAAGGTGGAAGCAAGGACAGGCGGCCTGGGAAGAGTACAGGGATGTTGTCCGGGAAGCTAGAGATCAGGTTAAGAAAGATAAGGCCCAGTTAGAATTAAACTTGGCTAGGGATGTTAAGGATAACAGGAAGGGATTCTGTAGGTATGTAGCAAATAAAAGACAGATTAGGGACAACATAGGCCCCCTCTGGAAGCTCTCAGGAGAACTGGCTGCCCTGGATTTGGAGAAGGCTGAGGTTGTTAATGACTTCTTTGCCTCGGTCTTCACTGTCAAAAGCTCTGACCACACAACTGAGGTCTCGGAAGGCAGATGCAGGGACTGTGAGAATGAAGACCTTGGGCCCACTGTAGGAGAGGATCTGGTTCGAGACCATCTTAGGAAACATACACAAGTCCATGGGACCTGATGAAATCCATCTGCAGGTCCTGAAGGAACTGGCTAATGAAGTTGCTAAGTCACTGTCCATCATATTTGAAAAATCATGACAGTCAGGTGAAGTTCCCGACGACTGGAAAAAGGGAAATATAACCCCCATTTTCAAGAAGGGGAAAATGGATGACCCAGGGAATTACAGACCACTCAGTCTCACCTCAGTGTCTGGCAAAACCTTGGAGCAGATTCTCCTGGAAGGCATGCTAAGGCACATGACAAACAATGAGGTAGTTGGTGACAGCCAGCATGGCTTCACTAAGGGGAAATCCTGCCTGACCTGGCCTTCTATGATGGGGCTACGGAACTGATGGACAGGGGTAGAACAGCTGATGTCATCTACCTAGACATGTGCAAAGTGTTCATCAGTTTCCCACACAACATCCTTGTCTCTAAATTGGAGAGACATGAATTTGATGGATGGACCACTCGGTGGATAAAGAACTGGCTGGATGGCCGCACACAAAGAGTTGTGGTCAATGGCTCAATGTCCAGCTGGAGACCAGTAAGGAGTGGTGTCCCTCAGGGATCGGTGTTGGGACCGGTCTTGTTCAAGATCTTTGTCGCTGACATGGACAGTGGGATTGAGTGTGCCCTCAGCAAGTTTGCCGATGACACCAAGCTGTGTGGTTGGGTTGATACGCTGGAGGGAAGGAATGCCATCCAGAGGGACCTTGACATGCTTATGAAGTTTAACCATGCCAAGTGCAAGGTCCTACAGCTGGGTCAGAGCAATCCCAGGCACAGCTACAGGTTGGGCAGAGAAGAGATTCAGAGCAGCCCTGTGGTGAAGGACTTGGGAGTGTTGGTCGATGAGAAAATGAACATGAGCCGGCTTCAGTGTGCGCTCGCAGCCCAGAAAGTGAACCATATCCTGGGCTGCATCAAGAGGAGTGTGACCAGCAGGTCGAAGGAGGTGATCCTGCCCCTCTATTCTGCACTTGTGAGACCTCACCTGGAGTACTGTGTGCAGTTCTGGTGTCCTCAACATCAAAAGGACATGGAACTGTTGGAACAAGTCCAGAGGAGGGCCGCGGGGATGATCAAGGGACTGGAGCACCTGGAGATAGGCTGAGAAAGTTGGGGCTGTTCAGCCTGGAGAAGAGAAGGCTGCATGGAGACCTCATAGCAGCCTTCCAGTATCTGAAAGAGGCCTATAGGGATGCCGTGAATGGACTCCTTATCAGGGACTGTATCAATAGGATAATCGGTAGTGGGTTCAAACTTAAACAGGGGAAGTTCAGGTTAGATATAAGGAGGAAGTTCTTTACTGTAAGGGTGGTGAGGCACTGGAGTGGGTTTCCCAGGGAAGCTCTGAATGCTCCATCCCTGGCGGTGTTCAGTGCCGGGTTGGACAGAGCCTTGAGTGGCATGGTTTAGTGTGAGGTGTCCCTGCCCATGGCAGGGGGGGTGGAACTAGATGATCTTAAGGTCCTTTCCTACCCTATCTATTCTATGATTCTATGATTTTAAAGATATGTATGTCCATTAAAATCTCCAACCCTGGTCCCTTGGTATCAGACCATAGGATCTAGCATTGCAGTAAACTCCTCACCCATGGTCTGGCTTGGACTTCTCCACAGACACCAGTTCCTTAGGGTTGTACTGGCTCTAAGTGAAGTCTTATTTAGGAGCCACAGTTTCTCCAGGAGTATAGCTGTTGTGGCACAGATTTATTCATGGCCACAATGCTCCTGTTCCAGCATGGCCTTCTCCATGGGCCATAATGCTTTCAGAGATATATCTGCTCCAGTGTGGCCTTAAGCAGAGCCTCAGTCCCTTCAGAAGTAAACCTGCTCCAACATAGCCTTACCCATGGCTGCCTTCCCTTCAGCAGTGTGCCTGCTCTGTTGTGGGCTTATACATGGCCACGTGCTTTGAGAAGCTTCAGCATGACCTCATGCACAGACATTGATGCTTCAAGGTGTACCTGCTGCAGCATGAACTTACCCACAGCCACAGATGCTTTGAGATGCACCTTCTCCAGCATGGTCTTAATCTTGGGCCACAATCATTTCAGAAGTACACCTGCTGTGACAGAGACATAACCATGGACACAGAGACTTTGAGATGTACCTGCTTTGGTGTGGACTTATTTACTGCCACAGACCCTTTGGGGTGTCCTGCTCCTACATAGAGAGCCATAGTTTGAAGTCCCTTTGACTCAAGTTCATACTGGAGTTCCAGCCTCTGCAGTACAGCAGCACAGAAACAGCAGTGATGCCCTGGCCATCTGCCAGACCAAACACATCACCATTGCTGTTATCAGAATGTTCCCAGACACAGCAGAGTCAGATGATAAGCTGTACAGCGAGCAGTGGAAGCAAAAAGCAGACACTAATGAGCTCTAGGGTCTAAGACACAGTAAGGCAAGCAAGACCCATGGCAAGCTCAGAAGCCTTCTATGAATAGCTAAACAGCAATAGCACCAGTAAGAATAATGCTGAATTTGAACTGGAAAGGTAAAATTGCCTCATCACTTCATAATCAGAATCTTGTGTTACACAAAAATCTTTAGGTACATGTTACCTTCACTGTACACAGTGATGATTTTCTGTGTAGCAAAACTGCCTAAAATGCAAAAAAACCCTAACATTCACGCAGCTGATTAAGAGGAGCAGCA